TTCACTTCGATTTCCCAGTACCTGCTTTTTAAATCCAATGACGAAAAAAAATGAGCGTATCGTAGTTTGTCTAAAGTATCATCGATTCATGGTAGTGCATAAACATCCCGCTTCCTGACGAGGTTCAGCTTTCTGTAGTCAACACAAAACATCAGTGTGTTGTCCTTCTTTTTGACCAATACCACCAGTGATATCAGCCCAGGGACTATGTGATGGCTGTATTACGTCGTCTTTCAGGATTTCCTGTACTTGTTTTCTTATGGCTTCTCGTTATTTTGGAGCTACTCGGTATGGATGCTGATGCACTGGTCTTACATTTTCGTTGACCACGATTCAGTGCTTTGCGACTGGAGTTTGTCCGAATTTCAACGAAGTGGAAAAGCAATCTGCAAATTCTTTGACCAAATTAACAATCTGCTCTCTCTGTGGTGACGAGAGCTCGCTGTGGATGTCTATTGATTGAAGGACGCTGTCCACTGGTGCAGAATCTGGCGGGTTCCTATCAAGAGCGCAAACATTCGCAACTTCAAAATATTCATTCAGGGTTGCTATGGCTGTTCTCTTTGCCACGTGCTGCACCTCACTGCCAGAGTTGGTTAATAGGATGTCAGCACATCCATTACAAAGGTTCACCAAACCTCTTGCCACGCATATTCCCTTTTCGATTAGCATTCCGATGTTTCCGTCGGCTAGTACCCCATAATCACGACATATGTCACTTCTCACAAGAACTGTCGCACTCGAACGTAGCGGCACGGTCATGTCTTCATCCAAAACACAGAGAGGTGAAACGGCTGGTTGCTCGGTTAGACACATTTCGACTGCGTTCTCTGTAGAAAAGGAGACATTAGATTCTTGCAAGTCAATGATTGTGCTATTTGCCTGCAAGAAGTCCATGCCTAAAATTAGCTCACGGGAACACTCGGGAAGAACAATGAAGCTGCTGACATATACGAATCCTCTGATCCCTATTCTTGTTGCGCGCAGTCCCACGGGGCTGACTAAGTGCCCTTTAGCAGTACATATTTTATGTCCGGTCTACTGAGTCAGTAGATTTTTCAACTTCTTTGCGAAGACGCTACTGACCACGGAGCAGTTCACCCCAGTGTCTATCAGTGCAATAACTTCCATGTCGTCGATGGTGACTAACAGTTTAGAGGTAACGTCATCATTACTGCACGTATATGTCGTTGCTTAACTGCAGTCGTCCGGTCAGGCCAGCGATGGAGGGTCATCTGTTTTCCGAGTATCAGCGGCCTTGCCTCCACAGGTCACTGGCTCTAGTTTTTTCACCGTGGGCTAGGTGATCGAGGTCTCGGGAAAATAGATGATGGTCTAGGACTTGGCGACCGGTAGCGCATTGGGCGACCGGTAGCGCACACTAATGTGGTAGCGCATTAGTGTGCTAAAAGCGGTGCGGATCGCGATTCCCATTGCCGAGTGTCCTGAAGCATATGGCGCGAGGATAAAAACTTTTGGATCCCGTAAGGGCGCCCACCGTTCCGCGGACAGGGTGCATTGACTAGGAAGCTATTGAAATTTTCGCGCTTGAATTTCACTGCATGAAATGAGACATTGAGCTCTTATTTTTCTTACATTCTAGATGCAGTCCCACTCGGCGATAATAACATGCTCGTTAAAGGTGGCCTGTCTCCCCACATTGGTAGCAGAGGGGCCGCCGGTCTGCAGTGCACCACACATCGCTCTTATGGTGTCTTGCTTCCGGTATGGACCGCAGCATGGCGCGCGGAAATGTCGAGGGTATGACGGCAGCTTGAGCAATGTTTGGGTGTCCAATATGTCCATTTTCATGGAGTAATATCTTTTAAAAGAAACTAGTAATCTTTCAATACTAACACAAAAAAATTGGCAATCGCGTGCAATGATCAATGGTCATATGGTGGGGTAGATCGATTTGTTCATGTTTTTGCAGCCAGAGGCGCCATAGGTCATTTCTAAGTAAAGTGTGTTGGAAGGGAAGCCCTTCGGCTCCTTCTGTCTTTATCTGCTTCTGCCTGGAACATTCGCTCACAACCCAAAACACCCAACACTGCAGTGTTGCATGAATATAGCCTCTGGACTTGTCAGAAAAAGTATGCAGAGTACAAGGCAAGGACTTTAGGTATAGTGATCTGTTATGCAATAAAAAGTAAAAAGCGAGCAGTTTTCTGGAAAGGAAAGCCAAAGCTAAAAAGAAATTCGGGAAGCGATTAAGGAGGAGCGATGTGAAGCATCACGGGAGCATAAATAGGCAAAGAAAGAAATAGGCACAGCGGCCTCAGTACACAGTCTAGAAAAGATCGGAAAGAGAAAAAAAAAAATAAATCTGTTGTGGGGATATTGGTCGAATGAGGGTGAAAGTGAGAGAGACTGCATTATTTCAGAGTGACACGGAATCGCGAGGCAGGAAGTGCGCCACCAAGCAATGACTTACTATAGAGGAAATCACTTGGAAGTGCCAACTGGAGAGGTAACAGCTGATCTTGATCAAAAAGAATATCAAGGCGGTAGGCGTAACAGAGCTAGTTTCTGATTCTTCTTAGTGTAAACAGAAGGCGCTACAAGTAAAATGACCTCTCTACAGCTGTGTTTCTCATTTTTCGTACAACACAACTGAAAATGAGCAGCTGTCTTAGTAGTGCATTGGCAGCACACAGCTTTGTGAGGAGGCTTCCTTCCCTCTCAAACAACGCTTCTCGTGTGACTGGCCGCTGAGAGGCACAATGCCTGCAGGCCTCCAAAAACTTCGTTTGGCCGTCTATTCACGTCGATGATATTGGTGTTCATGGGATGGAATACAGTCAAACCTCGTTATAACGAAGTTGAAGGAGACACATAATTACTTCATTATAATCATTAGTTTGTTATAGCCAATGTCCATTTCTACCAGCAATTTGCCAGCAAGAGAGAATGTACACACCAACGAATATCACAGCAGCTCGCCGTGCAGAAAAAAATGGCTGTCGGAAGGCAAAAAATAGCAAAATAACAAAGAACAATGCACTTTATTTTCGCCAAACTCAGTACACCAGCTGGCAAATCACTTCAAAGAAAACTAGTCCTTAATATTTTTGACTTTGCCAAGTCTTTACGCTGATGACTGCTTTTTCAGCTGCAGCAGTTATTTAGAGTCCGTCATAGTAAGCACCAGAGAAGCAGCACAGCAGGTCTGTCGCATCCAGCACTTGCGCGGGTGTCGGGTTCACCGACATTAGGCTCCGGGGTGTCAACACATTCGTCACTGTTTCGAAGCCACTGTTCTGTTTTCATTCAGCATGATTTCTGCATCTGACAACTCTTCGATTGTCACTGCATCAGCATCGGCACCGACGTACATGCAGAAAGTGTCACTGTCAGGCACAACGCTGGCGTCAAGGAGAGCGCCCTACGACGTCTAGGCCTGGCCGCCCGTGACACCCGACATCGCCGAAATCTTCGGCCACTTTTTTTTTCTTGACACCAGACTCAACGACTTTCAACATTGCTGACTTCTGCTCGATTGTTTGTTTCTGCGCTTACGTTTGCCGCTGCCATTGTCCATCTTGTGTCTAGTGGCAGAAACTGATAGAGGTGGTATTGCTCTTCCACAGCGAACGATAAAGACGAACGCTACGATCTCCGCCGCCCCGTCGGTTTGCGAGGCCCCGGCGTGCCCCGGTGCGGAGCTGATGAGGTGAAGGAGGTCAGATGCGCGGGCGGGTCAACGAGTTTTACAGGAGAGGGGAGGCGGGCTGTCGCGCACGCTCGTGGAGCTACTGCACGTGCGAGTCCATTAGTTTCTGAGGAAAGAGGAAGCAGGGAAACTGGCTCCCACACGTGTGTTGGCAGGCCGCAAGCGACTTTCGGGGAGCGCAAGGCGCAAGTTTTCAATTACCTCAGCCGTGATGAGATGTAATAATGTAAACCGTCGTGCCCTGTAAGATATTGAACTGACGTATACCAAAATGATCGGCAAATGCTCATTGCAGGTGAATGGTTCGTTATGTGTGTTGTGAGGAAATTTTTGCTTCATTATAAGAAGGTTTTAGATACATGGGCGTCTATGGGAATTTCAAAGGGTATTACAATTGCTTTGTTATATTCATTAGTTCTATATATCTCGCTTTGTTGCAACGAGGTTTTAATGTAATAGTACATTAGTTTTATTGTTTCTTACACTTCCCCAAAAAAGCTTGCTCATTCATGCAAAAAGCAGCATTTTGCTGATGTTGCAGTGTCTGAATACGATACTCTCTTTGGTGCCTGTCCAGTCTTCTTTGCCCGTGAAGAAAATGCATAATTTTACCCCGACGTGCTGTGTTAAATGCACGTGCGACTTGGTTCTACATTCACCTGTAAATGAAACTTTGTAGCAATTCAGATTCGCTGTTTTCAAAAAAATACAGTGAACGAGCGCGATATGTTATTCAGCACATTTGAGATGGCCACCAGAATGATGTGGAACATTGGAACAGCAATGTACTTTGATGTGCAAAGACCTAGCCAATAAATAGCATCAGAAATAAACTGAAAAATGGAAAGCCTATTTTGAAGAAGTTTGGGCAATGCAATATGGTGTTGTGAAACGAACGTAAATGTTGGTGCAGCCATAGATGTAGGACGTGATTTTGTATAGGTACATCTCATATTGCTATTTTTTTAGCATTTCACTCAGTGGTGAAGGCCTACAACATTGGGATCCTTGTGCGCTAATGGGTAAAAGCTAAAAAGTAATGTGTATTCTGTGATTACAATACCTGGCCGCTATAACATTTGGATCCTTGTGCGCTAATGGGTAAAAGCTAAAAAGCAATGTGTATTCTGTGATTACAATACTTGGCCGCTGTACTACTTCACTGTTTTGGGAGGTGGCAAAAGTAGTTGAATGTTTCATAAATCGATAGCTGCTTTGCTGTGTCAAGCTTACATATGTACTGCATTTGTATTGAAAGCGAGTCTGTTAAATTGTCATTTACTGATGCGCTTGCCCTAAACTGTCAAGTCTTTTTTTCTATTTTCAGACATGGGCACTTACAATGCTGTTGTCGAGACCATACAGAATGCCAAGGATTATTACCCAACCATGGCCCCTGCGTAACGTCATGAATCTATGGCACTTTATTTTTTTTTTTTTATGTCTGGCACTGACAAGAGCCTGTTGGGTCCTGGTATGAGAACATTCGTATTGCAGTGTCAGCATTGCAGGAAGTGAACATTTTATTTGTTTATGGCAAAGTAAAACAATCGGCACAAGAATTTCTCGCATTTATTTGTTATGCTGTATATTTTTTATTCAGCTGCTGCACACTCACTTGGGTAAATCCACAGGGGGCACACACTGAAATATAAATGTAAAATAAATGAATACTAACAATGAATGGCATCATAATCGAAATAATCTACAAATTTTATTAATATCTTCTACTCTGAAAACTCGAGCAACTTGTCCCACTCCTTTATAGATTTGGAAGATTATAGTGTTCACATACCTCAAGTCTCATAGCTTCTGTGTATTTTAGAGGCGAAGCTCCTTAAGCCCTGGGTGGTGCATCCACAATGTATGTACAGTCAAACCTCAATATATCGAACACGGATATATCGAATTATTGCCTATATCGAACGGTTTGTATATCACGCGGGAAATTGCATGCATTATTGTTTTTTTATTCAGAACAAAGTTTGACATTTAATGGATATATCAAACTCAAGCACCCCTAACTGCCCGTGCTCCGTTGACAGGCGGCGAGCTTTCCCGCAACTCTCGAAAGTAGCGATAGAGCGGCGGGCGTTTACGAATGCTGCACACATCGATGGCGCCGAGTGCGCCACTTTAACGTAGTGGTGTACGCGCGCCGCAGCCTTGCGGTAGAGGTCCTTGAATGAGAAAAGTGAAGAGAAAAGCGCGGAGCTGTTATTGTCTTTCAATACGAAGGCACCGACAGAGCTTCGCGCGGGGGGAGTGGGAGGTAAAGATTGAGGGGGAAAGTGTAGGAGGGAAAGGACGCATACAACTGTCTCAGACGCGGCTCGCGCTGCCGCCAGGAAAGGGAAAGCAGTCAGGCGAGCCGGCATAGGCGCGCCATGTGCATGCTTTACACCCGGACCTACGCCGCAGCCGTGCAGTCGTTGCAGTCTCTATGGTATCAACGGCACACTGCGCACTTGTTGCAAGCTCCTCCCCCATAGCATCGGCAGGCATCGGTCGTTGTGCTCGCAGTGTTCGTGCGTTCGGAGTTATGCCTGTCGCGCGCTATGGTGCGCAACAGGCCTAACTCTGACCGGCGGAGCTCACGGCGGAGCTCACGGATATGGAGATTGTCGCCGAAGCTACTGCTGAGCAGCCAAATGAAGACTCTGCCGAAGTGGATCCCGCAAGCGCTGATGGCGCCCCGCTCCCGACATCAGCTGAGGTCGTAGCTGCCTTGGCCCTTGTGCGCCGTCACTGCGGCGCGATTGAAGGCACCGGCCTATCACTTATTGATCGCCTGGACTATATTGAGGACGCAGTCGTCAAACACGCCATGGCCAACAAAAAGCAGGCTACTCTTTTTCAATATTTTAAACCAACACAACAAATACTATGTTTGAATCTTCAAGTGAGTATTTACTGCACCACGCTTGAACGGTTCGTTGTAGTTTTTAGCAAGCTGCTGACGCATTTTTTTCGTGATTTTTTTTATATCGAATTCTGGATATATCGAACTATTTCGCGATCGCCGCGCCGTTCGATATATCGAGGTTTGACTGTAGTAGTTGTAGTCGTCATCGTCGTTGTAGTAGTACGTAGCCTCCTCCACGGCCAGACTAGAGGAGCGGAAGGTGCGCATTGAGGAGGAAACCTGCGCACATTAATCATAAATAAAAAGATAGTTCTTTCTCAAATTACCTATAGACGAGTATTGGCGACTTAATCTGCAATAAAATTTGCCTTGAATTCGATGCTTACTAAACAAAACTAGTATCAGAAGGACTCACTTTAAGCACTATCTCCACAGAAAGGGTTGCCATGTTTAACTCACTGGGCGTAACCTCCTTGGTTTTAGCAAGGTTTAACGAGGTTTGGGCCGCAGTACCATGTATTAGAGGCAACGAAAAGTCGGAGCTGGACACAAAGCGCAGGCTGTAAAGAAGTGCACGCGTGCCGCACTTCTATTCCGGCTTCGCCACTTCTCGTTTAGTCCTTGAAATGTCCGCTGAGTGGCAGTACTTCTATATGATGACTATATGATGAAAACATGCAAGATAGTGGTACTTGGTGTGTTCGCTAGATAGACAGACGAATGGGAATGGACAGACAGATGCATGGACGGACAGATGCTCAGATGGATGGACGCACGGACAGAAGCGCAAACGGACTGACAAATGCTTCACCTCACTCATCATCATGCACTCCGTGGATATGCTTTGATTTTTTTTTTTTTCGGGATATCGGTGAAAATTTTTGTAAAAAATAACCAGCCTTTTCACCATCCCCATAGCGTGTCGTCATGGGTGGAGACATATCAAGTACCTAAATACTACTGTCTAAAAACAATGAATATACTAAAACTACTGTCACACACAACATGCGGAAGCAACATTAAATGTTTAATGGACCTATACAGGGGTCTTGTGAAGACACGTTTGGGCTATGATAGTGTAGTGTATCACTCTACGACACCAAGTGCGTTGACAATGCTCGATTCGGTTTACCATTGGGGCATCTGCCTAGCCACTGGTGCCTTCAGGACGAGCCCTGTTCAAGGTAACCTACGTAGAGTCCAATGAGTGGTAATTCGTTTCTTAACGGACATACAATACATTCACATAATTTGTCTGAAAGTGAATGCACAATGTGAACACCCTGCTTATTATGCTGTAAATGATGCTTGATGTGCCACTTTATTCCACACAATCAACATAAAGTGAGAGAGCTTTCCTCACTTTGTGTCAGGAAGCTCACTGAAAAAACGAATGTTTCGATTTTTACACTCCGAGTAATGCCTCTAGCAAAACCATAAGTACCATGGAATTGTCAGCAAATTGACTGTGACATATCCTTCATTGAAACCTTGGAGTATGCGCCACAGGTGCACATACGTATGCACTTTCTTGAACTGCAGGCAAAGTACTGCTGTCCCGAGTTTCCAAATGCAAAGCACTTCTTAGTGAACTTTGGCGATTATAAGCATATCTGCCTGCCTGCCTGCCTGTCTGTTTGTCTGGCTGCCTGCAACTTTTAGCTCTCCTGGCCGTTTTGATAATGGTATCGATACTAAAACTGGTATGTCATAACATGACTGTATCACTAGCATAAGTGACTAGTCATAACGTGAAAATCATGACATGAATGTCATGATTTACATTCCATGATCTTTCTGCTCTTGCGATGGTTTCGTTCACATACCACATTGCAAAACTGGTATGGCATGACTTGACTGAATGGCAAACATCAATCGCGAACCCTAATGTGAAAATCCTGACATGCATGCCATGAAAGTCATGACTGCACACTACGCTTATAGCGTGCTCCCGGCCGTTTCGCTAGCTCCACATATACTAAATTTTTATCGCGTGACGTGAATAGATGATGAAGGTAAATGACACATTCAAAAATGAGAACACATGCGTGGTGAACATGAATGGCAAACCTCAACGTGAAAATCGGGACATGCATGTCATAAAAGTCATGACTACACGCCACGCTTATAGCATGCTCGCGGCTGAGTCGTTAGCTCTACACATACTGAATTTGGTAGCGCGATGTGAATGGACGAAAATAAATGAGCCGTCTAAACGGGATAATCGTGGCATGGAAGTCTTGTACGGCATAATTTATGTCCGTCTCATAACGTTGTGCTGATTTTAAAGTAACATACGAGCTTGCAGTAGGAAGGAAAGGTAGACTAGTTAGTCATTCATAATTGTTCTGTGAACTGGGAGCGCGGGAGGATGACAGACACAAAGCAAAAAGGAGGCACACAGCACGAGCGCTCGTGCTGTGTGCCTCCTTTTTGCTTCGTGTTAGTGATTCTCCCGCGCTCCCAGTTCGCTGAAAAAATATTGACCTTCCTGATTCGTTGCCACTGTGCATGAGATCTGCCAATTTTTTTACTAATGCTTCCAAGTCCCCTGCCGGTGTACATTATGCTGGGATCTGGCCTTCATTTACAGACTTCGCCACTTTGCACCCAGAAACAAGTATGTTCACAGTAGAAGATTTTGCTCTGTTGACTGCTGGGAAACATACTGGCTAGAAAAAGTTAGAAAAATTAATTACATTCACCGACTCTCTGAGTGTGCTAAAAGCCATTATTCCTCTCCGAAAGAATAAAAACCTCATAGTGATGAGACTGTTTCTTTACTTTGCATTGTGTATGCATCCAGCCAACATGTGTTGTGCTGGGTGCCTGGACTTGAAAGACAGCGAAGGCAATGTCTTAGATGACCAGCTAGACACTTCATCCCACGTAAATTCTTCTAATACAGTTGAACCGATTTATAAGAGACAAATGGGTATAAGAGACACCAGTGTGCCTTCATTAAAATGCGGGTTGATAGAAAAATGCATACGAGGTACTCTGCTTAAAAGAGGTGTCTTATGTCAGTGACAAGAATTGCTGCCCGGAGGATGCCACCTATAAAGAGGTTTAACTGTACATCCCTGGGTGTCTTTCTACAAACTTGAAGCCCTTTTTAAAGAAAATGCTCGAGGCCTTCTGGCAAAAATACTGAAATATAGACACGCGATGTTACACTTGATACTTGCAGAGGGTGTCCATACCTCAGTAGCTGGACACCCTCTGCAAAAATGTGCCACACTGAAGTAACATTATGCAGACTCAAAATGGGCACACACAGCACACGCGCGTACCTTTTGTCCTGTGATGAGCCACCAAGCTGTCATAAATGTGGCTAGCCACTCCGAGTCCTTCACATATCTTGCTGAAATGCCGGGAACTTGAAGCACTTAGGAGAAAACATATTCCGGTACCATTTCGACAGCAGGTCTCACTACACCCAACAATGTTCCTTGGCGAGGATTGGTTTTTTGAAGTTTGAGTGTCTCTTAGGTTATTTTAAAGAATTTCGAAGATTTCACGCCATATACACAGGTGATCTGTAAGCACGATCTCTTGGGAGGGATCGATGCTGCGGTAGTTTCATCCACCTAACAACATCGCTAATCATGTCCCTTACCGTGGCCTGGTGCTCTTTGGCCACCACTGGCTCTTGTGCCTTAAAATACTACATATAATCGTCATGAAACAATTAACCTCTCCGTC